CTTACAGGATCATGGGACTTAGGTACTTTAAAAGGTTCCGTATAGGGTTTCTATGAGGGATCTTTATGGAATTTAGAGGTACTTACAGCACCGTGGGACTTAGGTTGTAAATACGGCTTATTACTTCTAGCCCCTGTTACAGCTTACTAGGTCCCGCGATCCTCCAAGGAGCGGTGTCACATGCACAGGACTCGCAGGCACCAGTTTTCAGGAATTCAGGCCTTCGTGTGGCCTGTCGGTTGAGGGTAGACGGAGAACGCCCAAACCCCAAACCGCCTGCTCATGAACAAACCTCTTAGACAGGAGGTTCCGCTGAATCCCAACCCTTGGACAAAGTAGTAGGTGCCTGAAGCGTTGCCTGGATTATTCGGAATCGGATGATACTACAATAAAATATACCCCAAATCCCTAATTCCTCAAATCCCTAATTCCTTAAATCCCTAAACCCTGAAACCCCGCTGTAAACCCTAAACCCTAAACCCTAAACCCTAAACCCTGACGGGCCGAGGTACTGCCACTGTGAACATAACGAACCTCGAGCCCGCCCGGACAAGAAGCAAAGAGCGGCGCTTCAAGGCATTCTTGGATCTGGAGGGGCTCCTGTTTAAGGGTTTAGGGCTTTGGGTTTAGGGTTCAGGGTTTAGGGCTTAGGGTTTAGGGTTTAGGGCTTAGGGTTTAGGGTGTAGGATCTGGAAGGACTTCTGTTTAAGAAATCTTTAAGGCTTCTTTGAAGAGTTCCTACGGGATCCAAAAGGCCTCCTTTTTTATGGAATCTCTCAGGTCAAATGTTCCTAAGACCTTTAGAAGGGCTCCGTTTAAGGAATCTAAAAGGCGTCCTGGATGGGTTCCTGCAAGGGATCTAGAAGGGTTCCTTGAAGGGATCTAAAAGGCTTTCGTTGAGGGATCTAGGTTTTCGTTAAGGGATCTAGAAAGGCTCCTTTCATGGATGAAGAAGGGTTTCAATCAGGGATATGTGATATGAAAGGTTCCTGTAAGGGATCTGAAAAGGTTCCTTGTTAAGGGATCTTTGATAGTTCCTTTCAGGGATCTAGAAGGGTTCCTGTAAGGGATCTACAAGAGTTCCTTTAAGGGATCTAGAAAGGTTCCGTTAAGGGATTTAGAAGGGCTCCGTTAAGGGGAACTACAAGAGTTCTGTTAAGGGATCACTCTGTTAAGGGATTTAGAAGGGTTCCTTTAAGGGATCTATGGTCTGTTAGGGTTTTGGTCACTCTGGGTTTAGGGTTTGGGGCTTTAGGTTTCGGGCTTTTGGGGTTTGAAGTTAGTTTGTAAGGGTTTAGGACTCAGGGTTCGGGCTTGAGGGTAGAGTTAGGGGGTTGGAGTTTTAGTTTCGGGTTTACCGCTCAGGGCGTTGGGGTTTGGGGTTTAGGGATTGCAACGATTTCACATCCAATGAAGGGTGAATAGAGGCTTTGCATTTTCCGGCTGCTGTCACGAAAACTTTGCCAAAATCCTTGCACACCCTATTCCGCTTGCGCCAGGCCTGCAGCAGGACGACCTTTTTGCTGTAGTGCTACCACATCTACAGGCTGGGTCATGCTGACAGAGGGCAGGGGGTTCAATCAAAGATGGGATCACTACTCAAGTAAATGGGGGGTCCTTGCAATAAAGATGAAACTGCCATGTAGTGGATGTATAGGCGCTAGGTAGTTGACTGCACCTCTGCACCTGGTTTGTACCCCCTAAGCCCCAAACCCTCAAGAACAAATAATTTGGTCCCAGTCCCAACCCCGTTCTAGCTGTAAGCCCACTTTCCGGTTCACTAGGCCTCAAACCCCCCAGCCCCAGCCCAGGCCCAGAAGCCAGCCCCAAATTCAAGATTTGGTTCCAGTCGCAAATCGTTTCGCTCAAAACGTTTCGGTCAGAACTTTCGGTCAAAACATTTTCGGCACCGAAACCCTCAACCCTAAACCCTAAACCCTTAACATTTTGTATACGCCCAAAGCCCGAAACCCCTGCAAGGTCCGTGCAGAGCAACCGCAGCTTCGGGGCAAAGCCACGCAGCTTCTGCGGATCGTGGAGGTTTGTGCCTGATACTGTTGATGGACAAAATGGGAGTTTCCGAAAATTAGGGGTACCTTATTTTGGGGTCCTTATATTGAGGATCCTATTCTTTAGGGTACTATATTGGGGTCCCCTATTTTCGGAAACCCCCCAAAGATAGTATAGTACCATAAATCCCATAGTTTAGCTATATAAGGTCATGCAGGATTTTGACCATCAACCGTATGAGGGTTCAGGGCCTTAGGGCCTTAGGGTTCAGAGTGAAGTTCAGGGGTTCAGGGCTTAGGTTTAAGAGGGTTTCGGGCTTAGGTTTAAGAGGGTTTAGGGTTTAGGTTTGAGGGTGTAGGGTTTAGGTTGTAGAGGGTTTAGGGTTTACGTTTAGGTTTGAGTTTTTAGGGTTTAGGGTTTGAGGTTTAGGAGTTTACCCTTCAGGCCCACACCTTGGATTCAACACGTGATTGAGTTTCTAAGCCAGCCTGGCGTTGGGAACCCGCTACCTCGCAATAAACAGAATAGCACCCCTATAGATCCCTTAAAGGATCCCTTAAAAGGAACCCCTCATGGTACCCTTAAAGGATCACGGAGCAGACATGTCGGAAGGCTCTCGTCTGCGCAGGCTGTCAAGTGGAGTGGTTCCGGAGGGTAAAAATACTGTTGATGGCATAAACCCTGCAGTACCTTAAGGACCCTAAGCTATGGGAATTATGGTATATTCCTTATTATTGGTGATGCAGGATTTTTATCATCAACCGTATCTCCCATGTTTGCAATCCTTTGAAGGCAAACTTTTGATGTTTCGACTGAAATGATCCCAGTAGAAGAACCACATGGCTTCCGCCAGAAGCTTCGACCCTTGCCCAACTTCCTCCAGGAAGCAATACCGTGCGTCCCGGTATCTGTGGCTTCTTGAGGTGTATTGGGAAAGGAACGACAGCAAACGCGCTCAACACACACAACAGAAACTCATGCCTGCCAAGCCGAGACAACATGCTTGCCTAAGGTTAAGGTTTAGGCTTTGGGGTTCCAAGGTCTTCTTCCGTGAGCCGTATATATAAGCCAAAATGCCTCAACAAAAATATAAAGCCTAAGCTACAAACTTCCAAGCCGTAAGCCCTGAAGCCATACACCTCTCAACCCTGAACCCCTCAAAGCCCTAAACCCCCAAAGCCCTAAAGCCTAAACCCTAAACCCTTAACCCCCAAACCCTAAAGCCGTGCACCTTGCCACCCTGAAGCCCCAAAACCCGGAGACGCAATCCAAGGCCCTGAAAGCCTTCTAGTCTGAAGAACGAGAGCCCCAGGGACGCTACAAACCTCGGCTTTAGGGTTTAGGGTTTAGGGTTTAGGCTTTAGGGTTTAGGGTTTACCCATAGGCCCCATAGTAGCTCCTTTTTGGGATTACCTAATAGGATCCTAAATACAAACCACAAAAAGGAACTACTATCGGGCCTATGGGTAGGGCCTACATGTAGGGTTTGGGGTTCAGGGTTTAGGGCTTGTAGGGCTTAAGGTCTAGGGGGTTTCGGGTTTAGGGCCTGCAAAAATTTAGGGGTTAGGGCCTATAGGGTTTAGGGTTTGGGGCCTATAGCGTTAAGGGCTTAGGCCCTGTAGGGTTAAGGGTTTCGGGCCCATAGGGATGGTTTAGGGTTTAGAAGTTTAGGGTTTAGAACCAAAGCCATTTGGGAGTTTCCGAAAATTAGGGGTACCTTATTTTGGGGTCCTTATATTAAGGATCCTATTATTTAGGGTGCTATATTAGGGTCCCCTATTTTCAGAAACCCCCATTTACACATCCCCGAAACCCACTGCGTAACTCCTGTCCTTCTGCTCCGCAGGGCATCTCAGTCACCACGAGCCCCTGCTCGAGCCCTTCTGCAACTCAGCCAGCCAATAGAAGAAGTTTGACCTTTTTGGCCGTAATATATATATATATATATATATCCTTATATCGATATACATATATATATATATGTATGTACGTATGTATGTATGTATGTATGTATGTATGTATGTATGTATGTAGGTGAGTGAGTTATATATACACATGTGTTTACATGTGTGTATGTATATATATATATATATATACGCACACGCACACGCACATGCACACACACACACACGCACGCACACTTTTTTCGTCGTTACAAAGTCTGAGCTTTTTTCGGCGCCCTAAACCCTAAACCCTAAACCCTAAACAGCCTATTGAAGAAGAGAGGCAAGCTCATGCTCTACGAGGTCCGGCACACTTGCGGACAGCAAGCTCAAGCTTCCTAGCTCAGGTTTAGGGTTTAAGGGTTTAGGGTTTAGGGTTTAGGGTTTAAGGGTTTAGGGTTTGGGGTTTAGGGTTTAGGGTAAGCTGATGCTTAGGGGTGTAGGCTTTGGGGGGTCAGGATTAGGGGTGGGGTTTCAGGCTTCAGGAATTGGGCTAGGTCGGTGTTTCGGGCTTTAGGGTTGTGGCCCTGTTGGGTGGGTGTCTTAGGCTTCAGAGATGTTCTCCGAGAGGCTTCCAAGATCAAGATAACATCGCACAGTAACAGTCTTCAAACATACGGTACTATAGTGTTAAGCATAGAATGATATACTGTGCTATAGTTTATAGTCTTGCATCGCACAGTACAGTTCGGTACAGTACAGGGGTAGTATAGTATAGTGTATTATAGTATAGAACAGTATAGTGTAGTGCAGTATAGCAAAGGGTAAAACACATTGTGGTACAGCACAGTACATGACGGTACAGGGTAGTATGGTATGGTATTGTCGGTATGGTATGTTATAGTATCGTATAGTACAGTATATCACGGCATAGTATAGTATAGGGCAGTATAGCGTAGTCTAGTATAAATTGGTATAACATAGTGGAGTACAGCACAAGACGGTAGGCCATAATAGCATAATATAGTACAGCATAACTCAGCATAACATAGTACAGTACAGTACAGTACAGTATGATGTCGTATGGTATAGTTGATTAGAGTACCGGTACGTCTTATGTGGCACGCTCAGGTCCCTCCACAAAACGCTGGAGCGAATGACATTCTCAGGCTTGGTAGCACTACTTTGTGAGAGCATTGCCAAAGGCAACACTCGAGATCAGCTGCTGCAAGCTCTGGAGGATTTGCGTGCCCAGTACGACATACCTCTATGAAACTGATCTGCAGCCTTTCAAAAGCTGATCGCAAACCCGTGTAAGACCACCCATCTGCAACCGAGTGGAAGGGAATCTCGCCCACGGGCTACATGAACTTCTTGAGGAGGTTCGATGAGAAGTTAGACACATAGGAGTTTCCGAAAATACGGGGTACCTTATTTTGGGGGTCCTGATAATAGGGATCCTACTATTTAGGGTAGTATAGCGGGGTCCCCTATTTTCTGAAACCCCCACATAGCACCAGCAAACTGCAGATGCGGCCTACGCGAGCTGCGAGACGCTTCGTTCCCGCCATCCTTGATGCAACCGCCTCTCTTTTCAGGTCCCTTTCCCAAAGGGTCCTAGATACTAGATACTGTTATGGGGGATACTTTCCCAAATCAGAAGAACAATTCCTAATATAGAAACCCTACAGTCTACTATATAGGTACTTTGGACCCTTTGGGTTTTGCCGAAGGCCAAGCTTTTGCGCCTCTTTGCGTATGACTCGTGTTTGAAGTACACATGATAGTATGTGTGCTCAACGGTTTAGGGTTTAGGCTTTAGGCTTTAGCGTCTAGCCGTCGTTAACGCAAAGAGCTTACAAAGAGCGGCACGAATCGCGTGGCCAAGCCTGTTGAGGCACCGGCTTGGGATGAGAGGTCTTTCGATTTGTTCTTGCTGGAGAAGACGTCCAGCTTCGTTCCAAGAGCCCCGGTACCATAAAGTACGTTGCTTCCATGGGGCTTCCATCAACTATGGAGCCTTTGGCAACGGTACCGAAGGGACCCATTTCAGTTCCTGCGCACATGCACATCACAATGGTTGATGCAACCGTTTTTATACCTGTTAGATCCTGCGGCGCTGTGCTCACTCCAGCCAACTCGGGCCCACAGGATCACATGCGGTTTGCACTGGCCATTGTACAGTTCCTCGAACGTTGACGTTCCCTTTATTGCATGAGCTTAGGCTTTTAGATGCCTTGCATTCGTGCTCCTTGTGCACTGACTCTGACTGCTGCAGGTCCATAAGTGCATGTGTATAACCCTGAACCTTATCAACCCTAAACCCCTAAACCCTAATATAGTGCAGAAGCCTGAATAATGAGTCATACCAGTGTTCCTTGAGGGTCCTGGTTATAACTACACTAGGAGGAGCAGCCGGAACACCAGGGCACAAAAAGTTTCTTTTAAGTCTTCATCGTGGTTTAAAATTAATGTTTAGGGTGGATGTAGTATGCTTTTGAAGGACCTGCAGACTCGAAGCCGTTGAGAGCCAGAGAGGCAGCTTCAATGCTTCAAGCTATATTAGAGCTGTTCCCGTGTCAACCCCCCCCCTGCTTCCTTGCATGACGCCGATTTTTGCGGCACAGACATCGGGAACCGCAAAGCTGCCAAGCGAACGTGAGCATGTGTGAGTTGGGCAGTGGCGATCTGTATCTCCGAAGACCGCAGCACGCGGCTTAGGCCTTGGGGCTCAGTTACGGTTCATGTCTTACATATGCATATATATGTTACCATGCCATGCCCCTACTTGCCTTGTCGGCTGGCATAACTTCGAGCGGGATGTCATCGTCTTGGCTACTGTACACGGCAAAGCGCCTCCACCGTTCCGACTAACTTGCTGGGCTCTTAACGGAGCTGTGGCTATGCTACCATAGTCATATGGAAACCCTATCACTTATTAGAGATTCCTGAAACCCTATAGCCTAAACCCAGAATTCCTATTATGGTCGCTTAAGTAAGAACCCGGCTTGACTGTCGCCTTGGCATGAAAAGATGGGTTGCGACAAAAAGTCCGAAAGTACGCACGCAACGGTCGTCAATACGTCCGACCTTTCAGGGGACACCCTAGCACCCCAACACCCTAAACCCTAAACTCTAAACCCCTAAACCCTAAACCCCTGAACCCTAAACCCTAAACACCCTAAACCCTCAACCCTAAACCCTAAACCCCGAGCCCTATGAGACCCTGGAAAGGCCGTGAAAAAGGAGAAGCGAAAGGCCAGAGAGATGAAGTTGGAAGACTGGCAGATGAGGCAGGCACAGCGGTTAGGGTTTCGGGTTTATAACCCGAAACCCTAAACCCCTAAACCCTAAACCCTCAACCCTAAACCCCTAAACCCTAAACGCAGGGTTTGGAGAGTTTTGCAGACCCTCAGGCCTTTAGGACGTCTAGGAAAGAACTAGTAATGTAGGAACCCGGATGTAAAAATCTGGGGGTCCTTTCTAGGGCTTTTTGTATGAATCTTGCTATTTGGGGATTTTGGAACCAAGGTTTCTGAACCGGGTTCCTACAGTAGGCATTTGGTGGTCTCAGATATATGCATCCTGATTCACAGGCAGGCTGTTGCAACCATCCCAGGCAAGCATCAGTAATCTTTGGGACAGGATGATTTTGCCACCCAAATCGTGCGAAGATTCTGCAGCTGAGCCTTGCAGGTAAGCAACCTCACTGTCTTGGCTTGCCGCCGCGACGGTGAATCGGAGCTTTCCATGTACTCGCCAATCCTTAAGAAGCAGAGTTGCTATTAGACCCTGAACCCTTAACCCTAAACCCTGAACCCTAAACCCTAAACTCAAAGCCCTAAACCCGAAACCCTAAACCGTTGCTAGAAACGGCAAGAGATGCGCGTTGCCACGAGCATATGCCCCGAAGCCCGAAAACCCTCTCATCGCGGCTCCAGTGCTGGACAGGAGCCCAAATAATTGCCAGTGCTATTTTCGAGCTGCCTTCATGTAATCATAGTATAATACACCCCAAAAGCCAATTCTGATCCATTACGGCCCCTAATTGAGTCGACATTGCAGTTCGACGATGGGGAACTAGAAGCACCGCCCAAGCACGAGCGCTCAGCGCTTGGGAAAAGGATCGCTTGCCTCGGAATATTCTTGGTGGAAGGATCATGGGACGTAGTAACTTTACAGGGTTCCTACAAAAGGGTTTCTGTACGGATCGAGTAAAGTTCAGGGTTCTACGAATCATGGGGCTTAGTAACTATAGGGTCGTAAATCAGGTAGGTCTAAACTATTGCACAGATGCTTAATGCTTCATGGAAATACAGCCGCTAGTTTCCAGTTTTGTTGTCTTGATTGGCATCGTTGGCACAAGCTCTGTCTTCGCACAGTTTGGTTTGTTAGTTGTCTTAACTTAAATATTTATTTGCTTATGTCGATCATTAGATTATCTTAAGAAAGGCTTTAGGCCTCGAGCGTTGAGGGCACGAGGTTTCAGAGCCTGCTGACCTAAACCCTCCACTCTCCAGACCCTCAATCTTACTATAGGGGCGTTAATAATTGCCTATACTCCCTAAACCCTAAACCCTAAAACCCTAAACCTTATACCAGTTTGGAGGTTCCTTTTCCTCAGTATAGTATAATGGGCCCAAAACCCTAGTCTCATTATTAAGACTCCTACATTAAGCCTGTTACGCCCTAAGCCCGACAAGTTTTGAGAGGGATCCGCTGGCTACCGTCTCCTGGGAGCCTAGGGATGCAATTGTTATGGTTTCAGGTTTATCCTAGGATTTGAGGGCTTATAGTTTTAGGGTTTGGTTTTAGGTCATTTTAGGTTTAGGATTAGAGTCTAGGGGGTTTGGGTTTCGAGAGTCTGTGCTTTCGGAATTGGGGCTCAGGTATCCCCTGCAGCCTGGTTGGTTCCTAGGAGTTTAGAGTTTTGGGCTTCCCCGATTTGCATATGAGAGGCGAAAAGTTTAACCTTCAGGAGAGGTTCAAAAGCCCCTTGCTTGTGAAAGGTGCATACAGCTTAGGATCGAATGAACACAGTAGTTCTAGTTTCACTACTGTACCGTGTGCTATGGTGCACCACACGACGGTCTGGTCGGCTTCTTCACAGAAGCTAATCGCCGGGTCACATGCTATAGTATCGCAAGCTGGACGAGCCTAAAAAAACTGCAGGGCTTCAGGGTTCGAGGTTTCGAGGGATAGCTTTCAGAGCTATGCAAAGATTTACGGGGAGCTTTAGTGAGGACCTTGGGGCCCCTTTTTCATACTAAAGGTATGTGGGGACTATACCAGGATTCAGCGCGGTGGAGATCTCGGCCCAAGTTTAACTACAGGCAAGCCAGCATGGCCAAAGATGCGGTCGGGCCCAAGGGCAAACCGAAGGCCAAAGAAAAGGCCAAGCTCAAAACTGCAGGCAAAGAAGCGCAACGAAAGGAGTCACTCGCCTCCTCAGGCGCTGTGTCAGCTCCCACGCACATGTGGGTTGGGTAGTTGTCAAAATGATGGTCCCCTTTCGGGTCCTTATTATAATACGGCGCCTATTATTTAGGGTACCCCAAAACGGACCCTAATCTTGACAACCACCCATGTGGCTGATTCGGTACGAGGAGTCTGGAGCCTACACTGGCCGTGAGGAGCCTCGAATGGAGCTTTAACGGTTAAGGTTTAGGGGTTTAGGGTTTAGGGTTTAGGGTTTATACTAGCAAGCAGATGGCGATTGCTGCGGCGGATAAGCTAATGGACGCATGTGCCTATGCCGGTGACTGGCGGAACGGGTTGGAAGGCCTCCGGAGGGAGGCAGAAGACAATTACCTTGAGACTGAAGACTATCGCAAGACGGTGGGCGACCATGGTCCAATTTTCAGGTTGGAGTCAGGAAGAAATTCACAGATGCTGTATGAGGTTCTGCTGGACAAGTTGCTGGTACACCAATGAGCGTTGTGCAAATGCATTGTCGTTCCGCTTTCAGACACCTCGGTGGCGGATGCAACCGAGGAGAGCAGCTGGGTAGAAACTACCAAGATCCCCTTCCATTCTATTTGATTTGGTCACTTTCGCTGGCAGTGTTCGTTTAGCAATGTTTAATATATTGAAATAGAAGTCTCTCATATCTATTTCCATAATTTGTCTACAAGTCATATATCAAGCTATTGAGATATTGTTTATCGGCAGCGAGGCCGCAGGGTAGTTGGGTAGTAGGCTAAATCGTAAAAAATATTTCTCTCTTATAAATTTTTAGACTAATTTCCTACCCACCCTACGTACTACTTACCT